ATGAATGAAAAAATGGGTATGTTTAACTTTTTATTTACTGCTTATTATAATCTTCACAGCAGGGTGAAATATAGCCACTATGAGGCGTAGATATTTGCAAAACGTGGACCCCAGGTCAGATTCGAACCCGTGATTACCCTTTCCGGGTGTTCACGTGTTACTCACGGCACCAGTGAGGTCACCGGTTTGCCTTTGCATGAAATCCAAGTTTTGCGAAGAAAGGGGTACGATTGTAGTTATATTTATTGATTTTTCAAAAATTTTTATATGACTCGACAGGACCGTATAGTGCAGTGTTAAGAGGTGCCCTGCGGGACACATGGAGTTGATCCCGCTCCCCATCACCATGCCTTCCATAGCCTCGAGGTTGGCAAATTGGTACCAGACCTGTCTGGCAGCATAGCAGCGCTGACTCTATACAGCGGTAGGGCACCGCGACCTCTAACGATGCCTAATGAAGTCGAATGTAGGGGCATCGCTCAGGGATTGATCTTCGTCGAGTGTTTTATCTTTTTTATCCTTTATAACCAAGCATGAAATATTTTACAGATCCTAGCAGTTTTTAAATTCGATTCTTTTTCTTGCATCCATCATCTACGAAAGCCTTCGAACTTTTTGCACTTGGGTTTGGCTATTGCTCGAGAATCTTGGTCTTCTTAATGGATATCGTTGAATGCTGGTTCGGAAGATTGAACCTTCGTCGATCGAAGAGAGCTCTTTACACACACTTCTGATACCAATTTCCTGAACTCGGGAAGATGGGAGACCTTATTGGCCCTAACTGACTAAAATAATAGACATATGGCAATGTAAATATATTGTGAAATCGGAATAATATGAAGGACATTATCGCGCTCGGAACAAGCAGATAATTCCTTTCGCTCGCATTGTGACGATCGCTTTTATCATCGATGAGATCTCTCAATTGGCTTTCGTCGCCGCTGACTCGACCACGGTCACACGTCCATTAGCTCTGAAGGCTTGCATTGTTTTATTTCACAATGGTTGAATCACACAAGCTATGCTAAACTGAAATTGTGCGGAATACATCATTTTCAAGTGTTTTAATGTCTGTGGTCTTCACGGCCGTTGTTTTTTTGTTTATGCACTTACTGTAGTATCATTAATACACTGGAACACCGATCTTCTCATGAATTCTTCTGCTTTCCCTTAGATTCCAAGGCATTATAATCAAATTTGTTTAGGATTTTATTTTGACTTTTATTTGGTTCTACACCTTTTCAATAATATTTATTGAGTATTTTGAATAATCTGCTGATAAAACAAGGAAGTGAAGGTGTGCGACAGTGTTGAAACTGCCATAAACTTTGAAAAACCTGTGACCTTTGCTGGGTTTTTGGCACTCTTTGTGGTCGGTGGCTAGTTTTCTTACGTACTTCTGCCAGTACAGTAAACATGTGATTTCTGGCTCTAATATGGCTCCATTTCGATGCGGTCTTTTTTCTTTTGTTTGGGCTAACTGGCGCATTGGTACAGTTTCATCTGTGTGTGGTAATTAAACCAATGAATTAATATTTGCGTGATACTTCTGTGTTTTCTGTGTAATATAATATTCTTTTCTTAAACTTTATTTTCTTCATGCAGAGAAAATTCTCTTCCACAGCTGAATAAGTGCGGCAGTAATGGTTTTTGTTCTTTGATAGAAACACTCCCGCACCACTAAACATAACATTTCTTTGAAATCTGTCATGTTCAGCTAAGTCTTGGAGCTTCATGTTAGGTAAGACGGTTAAGTGGTCAAATAAGCGTTTCAGTCTGAGATTAATGAACGAGCAAGGTAAGGCTTGTCGTTGAAAACTTTCTTAATGTTGTATGATCTTCTTTTAGTATTCTTCTTATTTATTTTTCTTCTTCTTCTTTCTTTTCTTTTTTCTACTACTATTTATTACTGTTCTTGTCGTATCTTTAGTCCACATTTCCTCACGAGTGTAATAAATTGGCATCCAGTAGTTCATTATCTGACTCATTCTGTTATTTTATCCTTCACATTCGTGCTACAACGAGCAAATCAATCGTTCCTAATTTACTTTATTTATGTATTATAGCATGAAGAATCTTTTCAGCGTTGATTATTTTTATTGATATCTTCTTCCATCTTCAATTTATAAAGTGTATGAAGAATCAAATATGTCTATACTGTGTACGATGGTTTGTTGCGGCCAGGTAGTGGTGGTAGAGAAGTTAGTGCTATCTTCCACGATGATATTCATCGACTTGCAGACACACTTTTTTGGTGGAGTAAGGTCATGTGCATAGTTTGGTCAGTCATCGAATCAGCACCGAGCGTGACACTTAAGCGGCTCTTCCTTAGGCTAGTCAACGTCATCATATCCATTAGCGTCAAATATTCTGTTTTTTTTCTCATCAGAAGTTTTATCGACTTTTTAATGCCTAAGCTCTTCCCAGGATCTATATTTATCTCCTTATACTATCCATAATCCTCTCATACAAACCTCGGACATATTGCTCTTTCTAAATAAATGAAATTCATCCTTTATTTTTTTAATATTTTATTCTATTTTTATCAAACTTTGGCCAGAAGTTTCGGTTTTTTTGAATGTTAGCATGGCTTCAGCAAACATTCCAAAATGGTTTTTTAAAGGGTTCTTATAATGTTAACCTTCTATTTACTGCCTACTGTAATTTTTCACGGCACGGTACTATGTGATAATGATAATCGTGGTTCGATTTGGCCTGGGGTCCAAGTTTTGCGAGTACCTCATTACCATTACTGTCTTATACTTTAGCTTAAATGGTTTTATTTTTTATTATAATATTTTTAGTGGACCTACTGAAAGGTCTTAGAATTGTTCCAGTGGGCTGGAGCTTCTTCGTTATCAAAATTCAGTATCGAGTTCATTTGTGCGACCAATTTCAACACCATTGAATGTAAAGACTGAGTCTTAACTCTCTTACTTTTTGTTAGATAAAAAAGTTATTGTTAATCTCTGGATGAAATATAAGAAAACATGAAGTCATCACACTTTAGTTTCCTCCAGAACTTGGACCTCGTTTACAATTAAACTACATCCAGAACATGGCTGCTCTCTGGAACTGAAATTATCTTGTTGGGGACTCAAAATCCAATTCCAGGTTATTTTATCAGAAGTGCTATCCTATCCATATACTGTTAAAATATGCTTAATCTTAGAAAAGAATTAAAGTGATCCGTTTATCCTTAGTGAAGTTACCAATTAACTTCTGAACTACTATCGTGAATTTCGCTTTAGAGCCAATTTAACTTTAAAAAACCGTTGAACGTTCGGGTGTGGTTCATTAGTAGCGACCCCATTCTTTGTGGAACTTCTTTATAACATAACAGAATACAATTGCTGACATTTCTATAGCCTAACATAAAATAGTAGTGGTCTATTGGCTACAGTTATTTTGAAGAACGCTAGGATCGTGATCCCATAAGTCTTCAGTGATTGTTAATTTTACTCCACGGAACTTTTGCGTTTGGCGCTATTTTCTGTAAATGCCGTTCTCCTGATTGTGAAATGATTCCAGAACTTCACTTCCAATCTGCATCCACTATTTGTTGTAGAAATCTAGTTTGATAACCTGTGTGAGAAAACTGCCAGCCCTTATATTAAAAGACATTGGCTTAATAGCAATGGTTACGAGTTTAATTTATCATAAGGTATTTTTGAACATAAAAATTTATATAAACTCCAGAAGACTAGCAAAATGCAACTGCGACACATCACTGTATACAGTATATATTTAATGAGGCCTTAGAACTTCTTCCTACATTCTTGGCTCTTACTATAAGTTGTTCATAGTAGGCTGATGACAATGAACAGGTTTTCAGTAGATGAACAATAACAGAAGCCAATACCTGTCGAAGTTGATTTCGTTTACGCGCAAGTTTGTACTGCGTCCTTGGCACTTTTCGCCTAGAAGTTATTGACTCTTGAGATTACCATCGGCATCAAAGAGCCAGCTATCATTTCTAGTAACATTTTTTGAAGTTTCTTTATGTGTTGAATAAGCAGTGAGCTTAGTTAGATTGGCTGTGCTTATTAGTAATCCGTGTTAGGTAAATCTTAGAGCAGTCAGCAGAGTGTTCATATGTTTCATCTGGTCTAGTCTCAGTTCGTGAGTATTGGTGCCTGGCTTCTCAGTGAAGCCTCACGTGCTGCTTCATCGTCAGTTGTTGACGGTAAATCCTGAGTGTGGCCGATTTCCGAAAGACGTCTTGCCAGATTCGTAGCATTTGAACCGTCAAAGCAGTGTGGAATGCCAGGTAAATTTGTCCCCAACTGTTTCCGTGGTGTGTGCTTGAACAGGCTTACGGTGGTCGATAATAAGAGGAGCGATTTGGTCGCTTGAAGCAATCTAATGCAAAAAAACAGATTTTCTAGGGACAAATTTTTAAGTAGGTGAACAAAAATAACGTTCATGATTTCTTTATAAGTGTGCTTTAGACAGCGTGAGCACTCTTAGTTGGAGACTAGTTGCATGTCCTGCTAAGAACTGAAATTCGCAATGGTCAGATTTTTTTGCCGATCGATTTAGTTTAGTTGAAAAGGAATTGAGTGCATTTCCTTGTAGACGAAGTTTGCTGAATATGAAGATGTCGAAGAATTCACTATCAGCCCTGCATGAATGGAACTTTCTCTTTCATAGGATTTTTTCTACTATTTTATCCCTTGCAACTGTTTCAGTTCATGTGGTTGAAGCACTTCCACTGAATGCCTAGGGCAGAAATTTTTCCTAGTCATTTTTTTATTAATTCATGGTTAGATTTGTTTTTTCTGTATGGATCTACATTATTGGCTAAAGTTTAGGAAATATTAAGTCATTATTTGCATAATCTGTGTTTTCAAGGCATGTTGTTTTCAAAATGGCGGTTCTCCCCTCTAAGTTGTTGTAGTTCTTCAAAATAATAGAGGATTTCCTTGTGAATCCTAGCACTGTTTTTTTAAAAAGATGCATAAGGAAATAAGGAATTTGATATCGTTCAGTTTCAGATAATGTGGTCATCATCCAAAGATGACGTACTGAACGTAAGAGTTGAAAAAGGAAAAAGGCCAAGGCTAAAGATTAGTGAGGACAAAAAGACGATACAGGTGAGTTAAAGCATGAAGCAAATCGTTCTCTAGTTGTTCATCAACGCCTCCTTAATTGCCGAAATTACGTTATATATATACATATATATATATACATATATATATACATATATATATATATACATGTACGATACATTTCTAAATTAATCGCCTTACAAACTTTTCAGATCGCTCCGCCTTTATCGGCATCAGTACTTATTTTATTCTTTTTTGCATTTGCTATTCATAACATCGTCTTCAATATAGTTGTGGTTATTTCAGTTGATCTGGACTTGAATAATGCAGTGAGAAATACAATGTTTACGAGTACAGCTATTCCATTCAATCAACGAACACTTTGCTTCACTTAACTGGTTCATTCGAAGTTGTTGTTTTTCTATTGCTTTCACGTTAGCTGCACTTCAAGTAGAGACTCCTCTCTTCTCACTGTATGACTGTCGGCATTTGGCCCTCGATATCTTCACGACTTCTTTACGAAGACGTGGAATTCTTCGAAGTGTGATGCCGGAAAGTCTGTGTCGTGGTGGTTCAGCAGTAGAAATATAGGAACAGCCAATGAACTAGAAATATATTGCAGAAGTTCAGCAGAGAATTTATTAGTTCCCTGAATGAGCAATAAGACACAGAGCTGTGCAACGACTAGTTAGTTGATTAGGCGTTGCTGCGTCGTCTTTAATCGACTGTTGACGTTGAATCTGTTCTAATGTCGAACAATTGAAAGATCTGTAGCACAAAGTTTCATCCTCTAACGTTCGAGGACCTATGAGTGAGAGGCGAGAAATACGAACGACAGGGTTTAATCCCAGTATCAAAACGCTCTGAGGAAGGCTAAATCGCCGAAACGTTAGCCATCGACCAACAACAACAGCACCAAAGACGATGACAGCAACAACAAAAACGAAAACTTATACCAACCTCGCATCAACTCAAGATCAGTTGATAAGAAGAACTGTAGGCTGTACTCTCCAGATGGACCTGCGACGTTTGGTTACGAAATGAAACGCTGGACATTTTCTCCCTTGAGTGAAATACTGCACAATGATTGGTTGCTGGCTTTCATTTGTTGTATTTTGCTCACTGTTAGCCAAGCGGGTTGTTAGATTCAGCGCCCCTCAAAACAGTGACAATAGAACATTTATTTAGACTTTTATATATGTACCAATACTAGTTGGAAAGAACTGTAAGCGGTGTAAACGATAAGACTGTCGGGATCAACAAGCGGAGATTAGATAATGAGTGCGAAGTTAATGAAGAGCAAGTGTACCATAGAGTACAACTTAACCAAGAAGAAAAATTGGCAAGTGGTAACTCGGGGGAAGTGAAACAAAGTCTTTGGTAGCAAGTCTTAGGTGCAAAAATAAAGGCAGATTTTAGTCGGGGACATCATTTTTTATTAGCTAATCTTTTTGATTGAGTGCAAATATCGACATACAAAAAAAATACACAGTGTTTCTCAGCCATTGGTTTTCACTTGTGCGGTTGCAAGGATACAAACATATCAAATTGTCCTTCCTTGCCGGCTGCTAAGCAAGTGCGTGAGATGGCTGCTAGGAAGCTATTTGAAAAAGTGCATGAAGACATGGGGAACATTCAATATCTGTCGAGAATATTGCCTGTGCAAGTGCTTGTTGGATTCGTTAGCTTATTCTTAGGATACGTCACTCAAAGTTCTGAGGTTCACAATGTGTAACTTTTCGAAACTAGCTAAGAGAAAGGCAAAGCAAGGGCCTCAGTGGTGCAGTGTGTAAAACGAGAGCCCCTAGAAAGCGTAATCGAGGTTCGTTCTGGTCTGAGGTTTGGGTTTTGCGAATATCTCGGCATCACTGTGGTTGCATTTTACACAGTACCCTGTCGTGAAAAACTATATTAGACATTAAAGGTCAACACTGTAATTTCGACTACAGCGTCAGCTTAACTGGGTTTAGTGCTGATTGGTGCTTCCTAGAGATTCTCGTTGACAGGTGGTTTCTGATGGCACCTTTTGTGCAAAAAAAAGATTTGCTAAGAGAAAGACAAAGCACGGGTGTCTGTGGTGCAATGGTAGCATGTGGCCCCCGGAAAGAGTAATCGCGGGTTCGAATGTGGCCTAGAGTTTGAGGTTTGTAGATATCTCAATATCATTCCAGTTGTTCCGAGGTTTTTGCATAGAAATTTTGCTGTGATAGTCGATGGCCACCGTTTTTTCAAGTACTGTGCTTCTTAGTAAGTGTAACCAAGCCTCACGATTGTTAGCAGCAGTATATACTTTAGTATTTCCCTAATCTTTTCGAGCACTACCTGTCGTCATTCATGTCTTTATGAGAATACAAAGATCTCGAAAGTACCCTAAGTGGTAGTCAACACGAGCCCTATAAGGTTGCCACGTAATTTTTCACGTAAAACGTACAGTGCCAATGATGGACAGATCGGGACACATGGCCTCGCAGCGGCGACAACACAAAGGGAACTGCCGAAATTTTTTGATGAAATCTGGTCTTTAATAATGTGATGTATCTCATCGTTCGTTTTATCGCTGAAGGTCCTTTGGTAGTGGCCTTCTAAGGAAAATTTCATTTTTCTTGATTTTTTCAATGGCTTCTATGAAGTACTCTGTAAGTGCCAAAAACTGGGAGCTGGTTGTAACTATTATTTAACCATAGAAGCATCAGATTTACAAAATATGTTGTTTTCATTGCGATGTTTGTTTTTAGTGTGATGTAAACACAGCTGCAGATGCCATTTTGACTTCAAAAAGCCCGTAATCGCCATTCAGATTTTCTTGCAAATGCAATCCCGGGCTTATAAGGTACTTGGACACCTAGTTGGATACTTACACGGCCCGTGTTCACTGGTTGTGAGGGCTGCAACATAATTTCCATTCGTTTCTCTCTCGCGCAATCGTACTTGTAGATGCGTTCGTAAAATCATCAGATCACTCCAACTCATTCTTTTCTTTCATGAACTAAACTCAGCTAGATATCTTTCTTATATCATCGATAGAAAAAAGCCTTCTATTTTTCTATTACGGTTCTTCTCAGCGGTACAAAAGAGAAAAAGAGTTCTTACTGCTTTTGACATCTGTTGAGCAAGATGTTACAGGATGAACTCCTGTTCCAGGTAGCTGTTCCGATAGATACCTTTGTGAACCACCCGCAGCAACGTGTGGAGCTTCATGGCGGCTACTATATAGTGCTGCAACGTCTTCAGCAGCAGTACAAAATTATTGTACAACACGGGGTCTGCCTTAGCACACTTTATATTTTTTCATAATTTAAAAATGAAACATGAATAGAAAAAAAGTGACTACCTTTTAGCATTTAAATAGTGTAGGCATGTATGGAGCGACTCAAATGGGCAATAAGATGTACTTTACTGGTTCCTATAGTGTGCTAAGTGGTTCAGTGAGCTACACTCGCCCAGAAGACACGAAAAGCACCATACCTATTTACATTAGAACATTTAATTTTACGATTTTTGGCAAGAAATTTTTTATAGGTTGCCGGCCTACATAGTGAAGGCTAAGCATGCACGTGATTAGCTTGCTGGAAATGTATCTACTGTTCTCAACAAAACTAAAATATGCTCCCATAGTACCTCTTCTTCAAAAACGAAAAAAAATAGAGAAAATCATGGCTGTGCCCCACTAAGGGGTGTCCCTCGAGTGAATCGAATCTGCGGGGCTGTTTTTGTGCCAAGGGAAGATGAACGGTGACAGATATTTCATTAGTCACTTGATGGTTAATGAGATTACAAATATTTATGCAGAAGCCGAGACTGTAAATTCTGAGAATCATTCCTATCTCTGAGCAGTTTCGTGACATTTGATGACTGTGCTAGCTGATAATCGAATACCTGATTTTTGTGGTTTCCTTGGCTTATGTGTAAGAGTTCTACGTGATGGATGTTTTGCTCGAATTTTCTTAAACTCATTAAATTTCATATGAAGCAATTTTTTTTTGACAATGAAAACCGTTGGTGACTTCGCTCGCGTTAACTAGCAACGGTTTTAGCATGAACGAAAGCCGGAGTTGATTATCTATGCGTCAGCTCTGAGTCATGAGAAGGATATCAAAATACAAGTTAAAGAGATGAACACACGAATCCATCAGGTGAGAGAATAGCGGAAAATCTGTTCCACGGTTTTGGTTTATCATAATTTATAGCAAGAAGTTAGCACGGTGTAAGGATCACGAATTTTGATTCCGTCACTATCCATGCGTTTCCATTTCAATCAATCCCTCCTTAGTCGAACTGGAAGAGTTCTCTTTAAATGATGTAGTATATTTCAGGATACTGTAGCGTCAAAACCGCCCAATATACATACAGTATTGGCTTAAAATGCTAAAATTCTTTGTGGTGTAGTTATTCAGCACTCACTAATTTTTGGCTGTTGTAGATTTCAGTAGTTAGATGTTTTGAAGATATTTTTTTTCTCCTCCACAAAACACTAACGACTTTGAAACGATGACGCTATATTGAGCATCTAACGGAAATCTATTCAGATTGGAATAGCAGGTCCAAATTTGGATGTGGTCGGAGCATTACGAGTCAGTTGGCTCAACCTTGAGGCTACTGTGGGAACCATGCATGTGAACGCGAAAGTTGTTGCAGATCGTTTGTCGTTACATGGTCAGAGCATTGTCATCGCTTCTGAAGCACTACTCAGTACCGATAAATTGACGGTAAGTGCTGTTGCAGGATGTTATGGATAATCAACTGCTAGGCTAGAATGTAATTCGTAGGTGATTGGTCGGAAACTACAATTGGACGGGCGTTGCTTCCCAAACGAGAATTCGAAGAACCGTGGAATGATCGTACAGTTTAATTGTGGACTAGTACATGTTGGTGTTGATGGTTGCATTGGCGAGTCAAATGAAAGGGAGACGACTAGAACTACGAAGGTGAGTTAAGTTACAATCAAAAAGCTCGTTAAAAGTGGATAATTCTCTGGTTTACAAACTTTTACAAGAGATGAAAGGAGAGAACTTAGTTCCTCTTGATTTCTATTATTCAGTTGTTTTTCCATAACGACTTTCTCTTTTCTATACCACATAAATAATGTGCCTTGTAATACCCAATCCACATGAAAATTTCCCTTGTGATCTCGCTCTGAAAATTTGAGCTACGCTCCTATTCTCCAACAGAGATATTTTTTCTACACAGGTTTTGATCTTAATAAATTTAGAAAGTTCATCCTGTGCACATCATATCGGAGTCTCTTAGCCTCACAATCACCGGTTCACTTGCAAACTATGGCAAAATTTTGGCCTCAGATCGGATTGATCTTCTCATTGGCGGGAATCTGTTATCACTTTCAGATGGAACATTGGATAGTGCTGGACGAGGTGGGCTTTCTTTGTATTTTACATGGTTCCTACATTCTCTGTCTGGTTGCTCACTAACGTGATCTCATAAATTTCTCTGTATCGCTTTGTTCTGCTTAATTGTATACACCAAACTCGAAGACACTGTAGCAAGGTAAGTTTCTTCGTATAGGGTGGACATTGTTTTTGAATAATTCCACTTATAAAAATGCCTATAAGTCTTTCTCACCTTAGCCATTGTAGGTTTGGGCTTGATAACCAAAGCAAAAATGCTATGCTTTGATAAAAGAAAGCAGAATGGTAACTTCTCCTTAATCCAAGCTCTTGCTTTAACTCGTTTGCGGCAGAACTTGTTCCAATTAATGAATTTTGTCCAATAAAGTTACATGAATTCGTCGTTATCTCTCTCAGCAATCGCGAGGTTGTTAAACAGCATGCGTTTACTTCCATACAATAACACACAACACAATCGTAGCTAACGTTTCGGCAGAATCACCTTCTTCAGAGCCTGGAAGGGCACACTAATACGCAACTTACTAGGTCAAACGCTTCAATAGCGGCCTCGCGATTGCTGAGAGAGAAAGCAACGAATTCATAATCCAATGCCGAAGTTGATAGCAAGTCGATCCTGGGTACTATTAAAAGTTAGATGAATTAGTCAGTTGCATGCAACAACCTGTAATTAACCCAAAACCATATGTAACATAGATGTATGGTGCACTGTATTACAGGTGTATGTGAATTGATCTCGAGGTTTCAATTTGTACCAAGTTTTTTAAAGGTTTGTAAAAGGTAACTAGTCGAACTTTAGGTTATGATGCTTTGAAGCAGATTCGTGGAGTTCGGACTCGTAACGATTGTATTCCAAGTTCTACGAGTCTTCACTCAGCCATTAATTCGCAGAATGCTGACGCCGTAGCCGACCTTATTGAAAAGGGTGTCGACGTCAACGACAAAGTTTGTTCACTAAGGCCAATTAGAATAAATTTAGGCTTCTGTACTGTTTCTATGAGAAAAAGAAAACGTCAAAAAGATTACATAATCGTGCTTTTATCTATTTTTTGAAACTATTTGCCTTTATTTCTTACTGTATGGTATCCATTAGAATTCAGATTTCCTCAAAAGTCCTCACTTTACGTCAAGCCGCTATCGCACAATGTCGTGAGAAACGTGAGCAGTCGAAATTGAACCGTGTCCGGGAACGAATAACCCTCATAAATGCACTGTTAGCTGTTCATGACTGGCGACGTGGAAGCATTCAATCCCGAGCGATTCGTGCCGTGGTCAACAAGAACTGTGACGATTGTGCTCAGTTCAACGCCAGAGAGTTGCAAATAAAGGTCTCGTTTTAAATACAAAACAATTATGGGACAGGCAGCTTTTTAATTAAGATCTTATTCTTATGAAATTTCTCCTTATATTGAATCATAGTCAAAGAAGCTATCCATGCTTTTACTCTTTGTGCTCTTTGTTGTGCACATAATGGATCTCACTTATCGTATATTACAATATCTAGCAAGTAGCACTAGAAGATCTATCTAGAATCCACTTAATTTCCAAGCTACCTGGGGATTTTCGAAGTTTGATAAATTATCCATAAATCTTGCTTTGGATTCTACTGAGTGACATTTGATTCAATTACTCGCGACGCTGAATTGCCCAAGTTGTGCTATCTAATAGATTAGCGTTCTTCATTGTCTTCATCAATCCTGTAATTGAATCGAATGCATTGTATAAAAGTCGCCAACTGCTTCAAAATGTTCTAGGTCGGTGGATCGGCTACGGCTGAAGCAGATTCGATCTGGAGTAGTGCATATGTAGAATTGGATGTGGGCACAACGGTTGCAATCGCAGGACAAGTAAAACTAACTTCGCTGTTTCTCACTGCTGGAAGCACTTTAACAACAACGGCAGACGCTATCGTTGCACTTGAAATGTTTGGTCGTTTTAACTGCGAAAGGTTCGACGCTCTGAATTTACTGCTGAAAAAACTAGTTTGACCAATCTTATAAGGTGACTATTGTGCCACTCCTACGCAAGTGCAGTGCGATAGCGTTACGAGACTATAAAAAATCTTCGGTGTAGGTAAAGTGGAGGTGCTTAAATTTTAGTATGACTTTGAAACGCGTTAAAGGTGTCGTCGTAGAACATTTGTAGTACTAAGGCAGACAGAGTATTGCTTGGCAGTTCGAAACTCTCGTGTGCTCCGACTGTGTCTCTTGAGAGCCGATAGTGGTACTATATTGAGTTGAAAAGGTTCCATACAGTATTTTAGTATTAATGCCAAAGATTTATAGTATAGTGGCTTGCTAGCACATAAATAGCTGGAGATAGAAGCAATGTGAATTGCGGTCAGTGCAGATAGTTGAGTGCAAGTGTTTCTCGTTTAGATTTTTATGTGATGGTATTTGGACAGTCGGTGAGAATTTCGTGCTGGATGTTCGTGGTGATGTACGTTTTGGAACGAACTCCTACACTGAAACAGAAAAGGTAGATTCCATTTCTTATTAAAATAGGTTGGGTTTTTAGTATAATCAGATTACCATGATTTCCTTTTCATTTTGATCTCTTGGATCACTATGAAGAGGAGTTTTTAATGCTCGGTTCTTTGATTAGTTGTATGTAAAGAATACGAGAATAGATTTCTTAAGCATCGGCCATTATGATTGAAGCTGACGCTATCCTTATTGTGACATGTTCAATTACTACAGCTTTCACCACGTCCTTGATTCGGATATTTCAGTAACTACTGTTGTAATTTGACTATTGTTGTGCAAGACTGTACAGGTTCAAGCTTTCGAGAATAGTAATGATTCAGATGGAAATGGTTTCTGGATCGACATGCCTCATTGATGGCTCATGGCAAATCGGTACATGTTGGGTACTGATTGAATCAAAGCTCACCATTGGAGCCGCAGCAAAACTCTTCATTGAGGATTCAGCAACTGTCGGAGCGCTCGGGTGCGATGTTTTTTGAAGAAATCTGGCATAGAATAATTACCTAGTCAATTTTAATTTTAATGCTTTATTTATATTTTAATACAAATGTTACAATGACAGTGAGAGATGGGCGAAACTAGGAACTTCAGATGGCTTTCGAACCCGCTATTACTCTTAGCGAGGTGTCATGTGTATCCACCACACAAATTCGAGGTCATTGCTTTGCGTTTTTTTCAGCTGCATTCTTACTCTATCAGTGCTATTAGTAATCACCTGTCAACGGAATGAGAAACCGAAAGGCTGAGAGAAAGCCAAAGCAAAAGTCTTAGTTGGCTTGGTGGATAGCACATGGCACATAGGTAAGGGTAATCGCTGGTTCGAAACCTACCTGAACTTCTGAACTTTGCTCATATTTCAGCATCCTTGTGGTTGTATTTCGCAAAGTACCATGCCATGAAAAAAAGGATAGGCAGTAATTTAAACTTAAGACAAATATTGTAAACTAGAATTCAATTGTTGACTTTTGGGTTCCTAACGGAAAATTCATGGTCCTTGTTTTAAATGTTTGCGTAGGCTAGTTTCCTACGTTAATTGGAGCTTTCGTTCAGAGTTAGCTTTAAGAAGAATTACATTACATTGACTTTCCCTGAACCTCGGTGTGACTAATCAATATGCATTCTTTCTTGATGAGCTTGCACGAGGTTGATAAATATATTTATTTTCGGCTCGTGCAAGCTTATCAAGAAAGAATGCATACATTACATTGAATTTACAACATACATTCTGAATTAAGTTGTTTTTCATACAATACATGGAAAATCAGATGCCTTAGCCTTTTGTCGCTCAGATACTAAATATACTAATAGCGTGTTTCTTTTTAGATTAATGTGCCACGGTTTCTGTAATGTCGCTGAAACTTGCGACCTGCAGTTCAAGAACTCTGCTCACTTCTTTCACTCGTCCAAGCTCGAATGTCGTACGTTGAAGATATCCTGCGAACTGCACTGTACCCTAGGTGGGGTTTGGATCGCTGACACTATGATGGTGAGTGACAGTATGAGTTTTGAACCCTCACACAATGCACTCAACTCGGGTTTTAAAAAAGTCAGTGAGTTGCCAACGATAATTATGAGAAAAAAGTTAGTGCTTTTTAATAACATATTCTATTCCTTTATCGTATGATTTTCAAACTACCTTCTGGCGAATAAGTACGTTTATTATGTTAGACTTATAAGAAAGCTCCACTTACACTTTTTTACAGAGAATTTCTTCTTGTTCTTTTCGAACGATCCTTCCATTCTATTTGAACTTTCTTGTTGAAAGTAACTCTCAGGGAAAGTATCTATTTGTTTCTAGTCATTTCCTAACTCCTTAGTTAACCACCCTGATTTGTTCAGTTTTCTCCTATGATGAGATCGCTTGCATCAAAAAATCAAGGTCTAAGGAATTTCTAGGCCTATGTACGTCACGATCTTATCACCACCTCTACCGGAAAGGCGGCTGTATTCACGCATGCGAACTTAACTGTTGGCTCATTCCGCAATGATTCTTTATGGCAGGTCAGTATACTTCAAATAATTATACTTGCACCTTATTGAATCTTGACTGTAATTAATTACGACGAAAACGTTACTTCTGAAACCCTAAAACGAGGTATTTTGCTCCAAAACGAGTTTGATTTGGTGGTGTTTTGAAGAGAATCTATCATTTCTAAGCTGTAGACCGTCGACTCGGATCATCGGCTCAGATGAAGGCGAAAGCGTCGAGACGTTAGCCAAAATAAACCTTATTATCAATCTCGTGTAAGCTCAACAATTTGAAAACACGTTGATTATTTGATCACCGAGGTTAAGTGACTGTCGGCTAGAAAATCGTTTTGCTATATCATTGTTTCATTTATAACATTAGTAACTATAAGAAAAAAACTAGTTTTTAGCACTTGAAAACGTTTTGTAGATGGAAAAAGATTGCCACATTGTGGTAGGTTGCATGGAACAATCTGAGGATGGTACAATGTTCGTGAAACAAACGCTCAAGCTCTATATTCATCGCGATTCTGTTGGATGCTTTGCTGGAAGGATTGTTTGCAGCCGACTGGATATGAGGTACTTTGATAATATAAATTTTGCAACCGTTCTTTTATTGTGTGTTACTATTATTTATTCCAGATGTCTTCGTCAATGCCAATACGATGGCTACTTGAAAACGAACGACGCTGAAATCTACCTACCGTACATGTTTGAATCACAACTAATTGTGACAGGTCATCTGGACATCCTGGTATCACCGTTGACACTAAAAGGAAATAGTTCATTCGTCGATGCAACTCCATCGGCAGCACATCCATTCCCTGCGTTTGTGCTCTCCGGACGCCTTAATGCTTATGCCATTATCGCACCTTTTTTGGCCGTCGAATTCTCTCCAGAATCGCTGGTCAAGCTTCGTGGTATTTCATCCACTACACCGGGTGCAGAATTCAATATACTGGTATCAGCTGGGGCTTTGGCTACGCGAAAGGGCAGTTCCCTACTTTCTATTGGTGAAAATCCTCGAGCAGAGGGGATAATTTGTGCGACGACATTTTATCACGAAGGTCAGATTCGATTCCAAGCTGAAGACGTGCACATTTTGACGGGAGCGTTTTTGCATAAAGGGAGGTTAACAAATTGTGAGCACAAACAAAATCACGTGAAACGGTGTCACTTTGTCGTGGAAGAGCTGTTCCTTAACGAAGGGACATTGGCTTGCAATGTGCTTGAAATTGTTGGCGAAGGAGTACTAGAGAATCGAAATCGTATCTTTGCTGTGGATACTATGAATATACGCCTGAATGATTTTACTAACAGTGAAGGGTTAATAGAATCGAAAAACTCTATTAAATTACTTTCTGCAACAAAAGAATGGACAAAGCTTGGTGGGTCGATCAAAGCGAAACGAAATTTCGATTTCTGTGCGCACAAGCTTGATATGGCTCTGAATGATGTTCACAAACTGAACACTGAGAAGAAGTTGTCGTTTTCAGCTAAGAGTGATTTAATTGTATCTACCAATATCTGTGATGAAGTGAAAGAATTTGTCATTGGATGCGCTGCCCAGAATTCTGTCTCTATAAACTCGGTGATGGAACTCGACCGACTAGAAGTACTTCTTGGCCATAATCATTTGGATGTTCCGGTGGAGTTTAAAATTCTCAGCAATGCTGATGTAAATGTAAACACTCTCATCATTAGTGGAAGTGCTAGCAGTCTGGTTATAGTGCTTGATGGACTGCTTCGTTGTAACCATCTAAAAGTCGTAAACACCTTCGGAAGTGTAACCATATCAGGACAAGGCTCATTGGACAGCCAGTTAATAGCTGCCGATGGATCAGACTTAAACTTTAATGTCTATCAGATTCTCTGCATCAATGAAGTACATTGTCGCAATCTTGGTGTACAGAAGGATTCACTTTTAAGGCTCAAACCTTGCGACGAACAAGAACTTACAACGGTATCGTGCGAAAATATGCTTATTGAGGGCACGATATTTGTGGAACGCAAGCTGCTGCTGGTGTCTAAAAAATCTGATGCTTGTGATCTGCAGATTCATGGTCCCATAATTGGTACTTCGTTCGATAGCGAAGTCTCTATAGAAAGCTCCCGTGTCTCCATCTCGGGACAGCTGGCGAATCTGAAACATCTTGAGTTCTACGCTAGAGATTCATTGCAATTCTCCATGGCAAAACTGAAAAATCTGAAAAGCGTTTCTATTGACTGTGGAGAACTGATTTTGAATGCCAATACCGATTGCTGTGAGAATCTAGTGATTAACGCTGATACGGCGAACTTTTCTGGATCATTCTGCGGCCCAAGTTCATTTGAAGGGGTGTTATCGGTGCATTGTAATTCCCTACAATCAAATATGGATGTCAGAAGTATCGGCAAGCTGTATCTCAACTGTAGAAGAACGGCAGTCGTGAGGGGAAATATTGAGAACGTTGATGACTTCGAAATAGATTCGAAGTGGATCAATAATCATGCACTTGTACGGAGTTGTGTCAACGCCAAACTAACTGCGTGGTCTATACACTGTTCTGGTTCAGTTGCAGTAATAAGGCTTCGAATGACTACACTAGCCATAGTATTTGTGAACGGTGACGTAACAGCTAGTGAGGTTGACATCAAAGCTCCTTTTGTAGTCGCCGTTCAGCAATCATCTTCTCTAATTGCTGATAAAATCGAGTTGAACACTCTTTGTCTGTGTACAAATCAGGATCTTAAAATGACAGGAACCAACTATTTGTGGTTCATTTTTGAAGAAATGCTCTGCCGACCGACTCTGACGCCGATTCAAATGAATAATTGGAAAGAAACTGCTATGATGATGAAGGATCGTTTCAGCAGTGCAACAATCGACATTGATGAAATGATCGTCGGCCTCAAGTATCTCAGCGATCTTAATGCTACGAAAATAAAACTCGACACTGGAAACACAGTATACAAGGACCTGTGCAAAATGTCACGAAGATTTGACACCAATCCCATCGGCCTCTTTAACATATCGGATTTAGTGGCGCTGATCTATAGCGGGCGTACGATGTTTAGTGTATCCAACGCTATTGAGAAAAAGGAATGTTATAAGAAGAAAAACAGAAACCATGGTGAGCTTGTGTAACCGAAAACTGTTTGCTGATAAACGTGCTATGGCTTGATTTATGGCTTGACTAGCAAGGCGTAATTCAATGCCATATGGCATTGAACGTAACGCAATTGGGGCTGTGAATATCTCTAAGCAGCGTCTTTAAGTTTTCGAGGATGGTTGGCCTATTAGAAAGTCGGGATTATGGAAAGTGTACAATGAATGTTTTCATTAAGAAATTTCGTTGGAGTAGCTTTTTTTTAGAAAGGCAGGAAAGAATTTCGAAAAGTACTGGTCAATTTAAGGAAGGTTGACAGTTTTGATTACTACTGTCTGATAGGTTCTCGTCATCATTCAAATTTTATTCCAACTCTACATTCTGCTGAGTCGAACATCAAAACTGTTGACAGGGCATAAGTCGTGTTTAGATAGCTCACTATACGAAGGGTTGGTGCAGTTCAAATCTGCGAAATATATCAAGGAGCCTCGTGGATCTTCCGATACTGATATAGGATACGTAAGTAGAAGCTCAAGCGAAGAACTGGACAGGTCGAGGCGAGTTTCAAAGAAATGTGTTAAAACTCACTTGTTTTCCTGATACTACTGAAATACCGTCAGCAACATAATAAGTCGTTATTATTGAAGCTAAGCAGTCTTTAACTATTCTCTTAGGTCCCCACGAGCGTCAGATGTGCGAACTCTCTTCGCTGACAATCATCTAAGCGTGATTGCTAAAAAACTGGAAAAGTTGGAAGCAACCGATGTCACTGTCGAAGAGTTGAATGCATCATTGCTCGAGTAATTTTTTACTTATAAAAAACACAACTGTAATAATTAAAAGTATTATTGAAAAATAGAGTAACTCTGTTACTTCTTCGTTTTGCAGCGAGGTATGGTTTCACAAAATGTTAGTTTTGATTGCAATGTTCGAAGAATGGAAAGGGGCTATTTTTGACGAGATTCAAGGCGCTATTCCAAAGTAGATAAGTGATTCTGGCTCAGCGGTCTAATGACCTATCAGTTATGTGCGTAAAAAAGAGAGATAAACCAGATTTCTACAACAATACCCTAAGCCATGACACCTCGCCTTGAAACCACACCGCATTCAGGGCGAGTGTTTTTCATTCTGATGACTCATCGTTCGAAGATCGAGTCCATACTGGCGAAGTCTTACTTCTTTGGTTCTTAGCGAATCATAGGACCTGTGCTGTAGTTTCATTGTTCTGGTTACCAAAATTAGTGCAGCATTCGGATGTCGATGTTTATTGTGGTCGAACTGCCTCTTTCCGTTTCAGGCAAGAAGAATTAGCAGAGTTCGAGCTCTTAGAACAAGAGATTGAGGATTGCAAAGAAGGTTTGGTGCGAACTGATTATATTGTCTGTCGTAATGAAAGAATACAATTGGCACGGTAGGCGTAAGACTGTGGATGGACGTATCACTCCTCTTTGATAAAGATCACTTGAAAATGAATAGTTCAGAATTCGACAACAAGTCTACACCTCGCAGCCATCTCGACCGAAACCTCGTTTTCCTATTGTGCGAATTCCATCGTCAAACGATTTAGTTATGAAAAGAATGCAGGTTTGCTTATGTAAATTTCGCTCTAGATTTTTTCCAGGTTTCGTGAATTAGCATTACTAATCTTAACATAAATTAGCGTGTAGCGCAGTGGTTAGAAATGGTTTCCATTACACCTTTGGTTGTTGGTCCGATACCGTGCCCCTATCAAACCAAGTCCTCCATCTTTGTGGGGTCGGGTCAGCATGATACATCGGTGAGCCTCCAAAGGTTATTGTATAGGCCAAATACGTATTTATTCATTAGCATGGTACTTAATGGCCACAAATGCAATGCTCATTCGTAAGAGACTGAGCATTGCCAAACACTTTATTCTTTATTATCTGCTCTTTGTCCTTTAATCGTAACATAGCTTCATTACGAATCCGTTTTATTCTATAGGTGAAAGCCACACTTTCCAATCTCGATCTGCGATCGTTTGGAAGCGAAGCATCATTATCGTCACTGGACCTTTCGTCTGTAGGCGAATTTGGCACACCAATGCAGTTCGAATCGAGTCCATTCCAGAGGTGCACCTGAAATGTCATATTTTCATTGGGCTTTGAAAACTAGTGGTGCTATGAAAGTAAATCACCGATGAAAGGATTGTATAGTTAATTTTTATTGTTAGCAATACTATTCCGAAGATAATAAGAAGCTTTAAAACCTGCTGATGCTGGTGTGAAACACATGGGGTGGGATTTGTGAAGAGCCAAAAATGGCTGGTTTCATTTTACATTTCTCTTACAAAAATTCATTCAATAAAAAATACAGTAATTGTTCAATTATTTTTCTAGGCTTCTGTGAAATGGTGTTCAAATTTGTTGTAGAGATAAACAACATGATTTATGTGACCCTACAATATTTATCTTTCTACTTTAGATTGTCGAGATTAGTATTTTTCTGTTCTTAGTAGTTTTATCAATAAATGTATAAAAAAAGTTAAAAAAAAGAACTAGAAATAATGTCAGAACCAGTATAATCATCTCATCGTAGGTCGCGAATACCACGAGGATCGTTTCGCAGTCCACGCAAAGCAGTTCTGGTTTGATTGCTGGCTGACGGCCCAGTTTGCTTAGCCAATTCGCTCAAGGCATTAAGCTTCGCCACTTTACATTTCCATCGTTGATGGAACAGAAATGTAAAGCAGTTGTCAAGTGATCCTGAAACTGTTTTTCGGAATTGCTATAAATCATCCAGCAGATCTTGGAGTTATAGTAATGAGAACTCAGTCTCTAATCATTGCCTTGTCATTAGACAACTATTAAAGAGCTCTGATCGACGAGATCTTCATTCATTACTATTTGTTAGATTTATTAGTAACTTCTTTTTGCCAATTAGCTACATTTTGTTGCTATGTGTCAAATATATCTGTAGAGGTAATGAAGTAATGAAAAAGAGATCTCTGTGATAGTCTTTGTGAGATTGAACGACATTCATGAACTCATACATACCGCGAAATGCATGGCTATGTGATGGTCTCTGTTTTATGGCAAGTATGATTGAATATATCATCTACTTAACTGTGCGATTCACTTGGGGTAGAGCTCCAATATAAATGAGCACTTTTCTCCATTTGATAAATGTCACCTTAGTCGTTTTCTCTCCAAGCCCTACTTACTGACCGTCTCCTTCTTCATGTTTATCAATAATTCATTTTTGTTGTTTATCCAAAAAGCTATGGAAGTTTGTATATAATTTTATGTTTCTATTTTGGGTTCTCGCTTTGGGCTGTATTAAATGACGGCAGAGTATAATAAGCTTTGTTGGATTTTTTTCTAAGATGAAAAATCCTGACATAAACTGAGCAACATCCACTCTGGTGAGATTCGGTTTGCAGAAAACCACAGCTGTTACTGATATGATTGATTACTAAGGTTTAATCTTTAACTTAACAACGAAAAGCCATGCTAAAACCTGTTGATTTGTTGGTTTGGTTCATATGACGATCGATCGAATTGGCCAAAAGGTTCGTTTGCTTGCTCTGTTGATTGTGCTTGTGCTTTCTTAATATACAACCCTTCAAAAGCCTATTTTGTTACTCTTTATCCTACCGTATAACCAAAGTCCATCATTATTTTCGCGTTGAGTTTCCATATTAGTAGTACTAACTTCTTACGAACACTCTTTATTACTGTCATTACTGATTGGTTGTTTTTCATTGAGATACGGGTCATAATAATAAAAATGTTTTCATTTGAAATGTTCTAACTCGGCTCTATCGTTTTATGTCTGTATTTTTTTTTGCTATTTATTAATAAATAGACAAGGAATGTCGCACTACGCACACATCCGAAATCTTTGAAAAGTTTCTTGTTTCGAAAAAATGTTATCAGAACTGGAGTACATCTCATTGCTGGAGAACAACCGAAGTCTGACAACTCCCTTCCGTCAGTCCAACATCCTTTCCATCTACATTTTCTCAACTCTCTTAATGCTGATTGCCATTTGTTTTCAAGAAGTTCAATATCGGCCATTTTTTTGTGTTTTATAGATGAATCTGTGTAGTAGGCCAACAGTTAAGAATTTCTGTTAGCAGTGGTCGAACCAGCAACGATCTACACGGAGAATGCCTCAATCCCTACGTGCTGCGCTCCTTTGAAGTGATGGACAACACGTAGTACAGTTGGTTCCTGGATTAAAATTACTGATATTTTATTATTTTTATCACCGTAGAAGAAGAGAGAATGCAGAAATTTGTTTCTAGTGAACGAACCATGAATAATAGCAGTGATGATAGAGTGATTCATCCTCACTAAGGTTAAGAGCGATGTGAGGAAACATTAACACAGAGAGTCACAAAGTAAACAGAATGGTGAGTCATTCCATAGAAAAATGTAAAAGTGGTTGACCACTTTTGTATTATAATGTCTTAGAAATTTATAGTTAAAGCTTTTATCGACGCTTATGAATCTCCTTAAACTAAACCTGAAGAAGAACAACATTCTGACGTTGTCTACTGAGTAATTATCTTACTAAAACCAGCTTCACCAATACGCTATCGACTTTTGTTTTTGAGGAAACAAAATTTCATCTGCAATCTGGCCAAGTTTCGGTTTTTTTTTCTCATTTTTCGTAATTTAAAATTATCACGGAGAAATAAAGTCCTCGTTTCACAGGGAATACTGAAGGTCCTTGAGTCAGCTCGCACTAAGAGAACGAACTACGAAACAGGAATCGACAGCTTCCCTTCTAAGGCGGCACAGAGATATATAATGGTTATTAAAAAGTGCTTTTCATAAGCAATTAAGGCAAAAACACAGTTTTATCAACATTATCTGATTTATCAGTTGTGTTTACACTTTTCTGCGTATACATTGTGTAGTTTGTAAATTTTGACCAGTCAGTGAAGTTATATTTTGTAAGAAATTCCACGCATGGAGTGGTCGTCGAATCAGAAAATCTCTTTTGGATCTCCAGTAAGCATCAATGGAAAACGTGAGCATCGATTGATTTTCAATATAACAATCATTCAATGAAAATATTTGTGCAAAAGCCAAAGAAATTTTGTCGTTGTATTTAATACTACAGATGCGATATTGGTAAGAAAATGAGTAAAATGAAAGCCATGAGATTTCAGAAATTCGAAAATATGGAGGAAAAAATTTGGCCCAACGTACACTGTTCTCACCGATGTCCATGCCCCTATCTTCCTAACTCCTCATTATAGTAGAATTTCATGTACACATTCATATCGTTGCCATAAAAATCCTGCAAATTTCTGGATGATGGTTGAGAATTTCAGTTAATGTCGTATCAGGGAGTTTACTAGCTTAACTACGCAAAGCCAGACCAATAACAAAAAATCAAACCTTCCATGACATCCGGCTGTTTTTGAAAAAATAAAGAGCAGTTCACAAATACACCGAAGTTGATTAGGCTTTGACGAGATTGAAAACCTCTGCGCTATCGGTTTTTTCTTGTTTTCTTTCCCGCTTAACTTAGAATTTACTTCTAATTTTGACTCGACGCATTCTGTTAACCAGTTCAAAACGCGTTGTAGCTTCTCGATATCGAAAGCTTCATGCTATTAATAGACGAGGTTTTTCTTATAAACAATTGATTATGATTAGTAAACACAATTAAAGTGTATTCAAGGTTTTGCTAAGCGTTTCTTGGTTTGTGAGAATGCTACGGTACTACCATTTTCAACTTGGTATGCAATCAATAAAATATATGAAATATGCTAATTGCATGGCAATTCAGGCTAAACTAAAACTAATGAAATAGAAAATGTTTTCAATACAAACACTCTTTTCCTAATGAGCTGTGTTCATGCTCAGTCATCTATTGATTGAAAGAGATTACGATCAATATGTATTCTAACCTCTAACAAGAATCGCTTAAGGAGTTTTAGAGTGTCTATAAAAGAAACTGATATCGACATTGGTTGATGATAGTGTTAAATCCTGAAATCGGTTCAATCCTTTAACTATCTATCCTTCATCGTGATGCATACTGCCACCAGTCCGTCTTCTTATCTTACTCTCGAACCCTTTGTTGCGGTAGTCTTCGATATAAACAGTCAGCTATGATTGACGTTTACGATAGCTGTAAAGTCGTTAGACAGCATTTGGTTCTCACAAGTTCGTAGCTTTGTGTACAATGAATGGAGAGTATTTCACATTAGCATCTTTATACAGAAAAAAGGACATCGTTGGCATGACTGGCTAACATCAGAGATTTATCTTTATCGGGTCGAGACGCAGCTTTCGCATTAACAGAACTTGTCGAGGTTCCCACAACCATTCTACTACGTCTATGACAAGAAAAACACTGGATCGCTTCCGGTCCGTGCTTACTCCCCCTATTCTCTATCTGGCGGCGCATCACGTAGCCACGTAGTTGTGATTCTAATGCTCATCTAGTGAAAGAGCACCTTAGGTTCACAAAATGAATCAATACAGGATTCAAACCTCACTTATTTTGTTGTGCTGGCGCTGGGTTGCAGAGCAGTCCTACACATCTCTATGTCACAAACCAGTCTTACGGTCATTTTTAAATCGTTTGTCTTGAAGCACCATTTACAAAAAAGACCTCGTTATATAAGATACAGTGAAGGTACATGACAAGAATTGTCCATTACCTTTCGTTCTTGAGTTGTACTAGATCACTATGGAAACCTTTGTGGTTTAATACCTATCTGTTGCCCTCTAAACTACTGATTACTAGTAGAACCTTTGCAGCAAAGTAGTTCAGTGTTACTAGAAGTGAAAAACATGCATTGAGAAAATCGGAACAATAGAATGGGTGGAGAGAGTGTAGAAAGAAATAAGACTAAATAGCTGAATTTAAGAAGAGCGCTGAGTACAAAATTTACAACTAAGAGTTCAGTTTGGCTGTTAGTAAAGATTGATATGATATAACATCGTTTTGTAGGCCGGCTTGATAACCCCATTTCTTAGTAGGGTATTAAGGTAAATATATCGGTCATATTAAGTGGATTATCGCTGAATTTAGAAATAGTAATACGTTGTAGTACATCGATCAGTTCGTCCGGACACTATCAGTTCATATAAAATCAATGTAACAACTCCGTC